TCTAATTTCTGTCATAGAAAGTATCCAATAAACTAAAATTTTATCATAAATGTAGGCCAAAATGTATTTTGCTACATGTCTTTGGTAAAAATACCAATAACTGCATATTAATTGGTTTGTGTGAAAGTTTTGCGTCTACAAACTATTGTATAGATACTGGAATTTGCACAGCTTTAAATTTCTGACTGCCTATCACATTTCTTAGGTGCTAAATTGCCAGGGCAGTACAAACACCCCAAAATGACCCCTTCTCAGAAAGTAGACACCATAAGCTATCTGCTGAGAGGCATGTTGAGTCCATGGAAGATTTTTTTTTTCCACAAGTTTTTGGAAAATGGCAAATTATTTTATTTTTTTTTTACACAAAGTTGTCATTTAAATGGTATATTGCTCACACATGCCATGGGTATATTTGGAATTATACTGCAAAATATATTCTGCTACTTCTCCTGAGTTTGGGGATACCACATGTATGAGACTTTTTGGGAGCTTAGTCACTTAGAGAAGCCTGAAATCCAATGACCCCTTTGAAAGCCTGATGGTACGTAAATTCCTCATTTCACTTCCTCACTACCTATCACAGTTTTGGAGGCCCTGAAATGCCAGGATAGCACCAAACCCTTCCAAATGACCCATTTTTGGAAAGTAGACACCCCAAGGAATTTAGTAATAGGCATAGTGAGTATTTTGCAGATCTCATTTTTTTCTCACAAGGTTTTGGAAAAGAAAAAAAAGAAAAGATATGTTTTTGTTTTCTTTCTTCATTTTCCAAAAACTTGTGGCAACAAACGAGATCTACAAAATACTCACAATGCCTCTTATCAAATTCTTTGGGGTGTGAACTTTCCAAAAAGGGCTCATTTGGGGGGGGGTCATACTATTCTGGCATTTCAGGGGCTCCAAAACTGTGATAGGTAGTCAGGAAGTATAATGAGGTAACAAAGCCCATTAAAAGCCTAAAGGTGTTTATTGGATTTTGGGGTTCTGCACGCGACTAGACTGCCAAAAAGTCTCTCACGTGTGGTATCCCATAAATGGGAGAAGTAGCAGAATGTATTTTGAGGATTAATTTCACATATACCCATGGCATGTATGAGCAATATATAATTTAAGTGACAACTTTGTGTAAAAAAAATATATAATTTTTTTGTCATTTTCCAAAAACTTGTGGTTAAAAAAATAAATTATTTTATTGACTCAACATGTCTCTCAGCAAATAGTATGGGATGTCTACTTTCCAAAAAGGGGTCATTTTGGAGAAGGGGGGCATTTTATGCCAAGCATTAAAAGTTTATGCCACACGTCACTCACTCTCCTGACCACCTGAAGACTAAGCCTTTTCTGACAACCTTTTTGTTCACATGAACAAAATCAGTATTTTTTTGCTAGGAAATAACTTTGAACCCCCAAACATATATTTTTTTTAAAGCAGACACCCTAGTGAATAAAATGGTGGGTACTGCAATTTTTTGTCACAAATTTTAAAATTTTTCAAATGCAAATTTTTGAAAAAATATACTTTTTTACTTTTAATTCACAAAAACACAATATAATGGCCAATTGTTTGGTAAAATATAAAAGATGATGGTATGTCAGGTAAATAGATACCAAACATTACATGCTTTAAAACTGTGCACACCCCATGGAATGAAAACAAGCTGCATACATTTTTAATATCCATAGGCAACGTTTTAAAAGCCTTTACAGGCTACAATTTTAGATTTACACGGGAGGTCTAATGCTAGAATTACTACCCTCGGCCTGACGTTCGCAGCGATACTTCACATGCATGGTGCAACCGCTGTTTACATACCGACATGGGGTCAAGGCATGCGCACGCAGTTATTTCAATTTTTTAAGTTATTTTTGTCCCTTTCTGTCCCACTGTCCCTTTCATTTTTTGTATCACTTTTATTCTTATCACAGGGAATATAAATATCCCATGTGACTGCAATGGGCATTGACAGGTATTTTTTTCTGAGAAATCTGAAGTCTTTTAGACTCTAGATATCTCCTCTGCCCTTACATCAACTGATCTCACCAAGATCGGTGCGATCAGATGCTTTTTCAATTTACAAATGTGGCGCTGCTCATATCCTGTAAAACTGAAGTGCTCGTAGCTTCCGTTTTCTTAGACTATAGAGATGATTGGTGCCCTTTCTGGTCTCCAATCAGCTCTTTGGTCAGCTGGCAGAAACACCGGATGCAATCTCAGGTTCCCTCGAAGGCAAGGAACTGCCCAAGAAAGCCATGGAAAGAAATGGGGGGAGGCATCTTCTCCCACTGCTTGCAAAAGAAATCCTGCAGCTAATTAGCCATTAGATTTGCTGTTACATGAAAGCTGATTGCCGGCTGAAAAAAACGATACCAGGCATCATGGTGGTATAACCACTCAAAGTCCAGTGATGTACCAGTACATCACTGGTCCTTGTTGGGTATATATGCAATGTTCTTTTTTTTTATGCAGCCAGTCGGCTGAATGAAATAAAGAGAAGAAATCTCAGCCAGAAAAAGTGTGTGGTATGCCCATCATTAGAATATACCTCCCTGAATCCACCCACTTCTAATGGCGGGAACACATGAAATGTTCTATTTTTTCTTTCAACCCATGGGCTGAATGAAAAAAAAAAAGAACCTAACATATTCCTCTATTCACATTGATCGACGTTGATGTTGAAGAAATCTCTACAAAAATAGTTTTTTAAATATATGCTGAAGCATATGGGGCCATCCACCCACTGGCCACCCCAGGCCCCTATGCTTGGGCATACATGCTCTTTTTTAACTGAGGATTAAAAATCTCATCCAACAGCGCTGCACACACTTACGTATATTCTGAGAGTAAGGCCCCCCTGTCACTGTCAGAAAAACAGATCGGTGCTACAGCTAAATGGCATTCCTGCAAAGAAAACAGCAATGGTTAACAATAAAACAGTAACTCAATAAAATTACTTTTTTTATTGAAATATGTGCCAAAAATATTATATAAAAATATATATGCTGAAGCATAGGTGCCATCCATCCACTGGCCACCCCTGCCCCCATGCTCTTTTTTAACAGCAGACAAAAAAAATCTCATCTAACAGCGCTGCATGCACTCATGTAAACTTCTGAGAGCAAGACCCTGTTGCTGTCAGAATAAACAGATTGGTGCTGCAGCTGAATTGCATTCCTGTAAAGAAAACAGCAACAGTTAACAATATAACAGCAGCTCAATAAAACATATTATAAAATATATATGCCGATGCATAGGGGCCATCCACCCACTGGCCACCCTAAGCCCCCATGCTTGGGCATATATGCTCTTTTTTAACAGAGAATGAAAAATCTCATCCAACAGCGCTGCATACACTTACTTATGTATATTCTGAGAGCAAGACCCTGTTGCTGTCAGGATGAATGGCAGCTGCAGCTGAATGACATACCTGCAAAGAAAACAGCAATGGTTAACAATAAAACAGTAACAATAAAACTGTAACAGTTAAACAGTAACTCGACAACAATAAAATGACTATTTTTGTTTTTTTAAATTAAAATTTTTTTTCTACTAATTTTTTAGGGTTTTCTTACTTTTTTTTTTACTTTTTTTAACTTTTAACAAGATGATAGGGTCTCTAAAAATGTGATATCCAGTTTCCTGACTATCTAACATCTTTCAAGGCTCTGTATGAGAATGGTGAATGGTGTGCCCTGAACTGTACCGTGCTGTACCCTATGCTAATAGTCCATTAGTCTATGGTAGCAATGGAAGCAGTCCTTGAGGAGGAGACAAGGTTGGCCAGGACAGGAGGGACAAAAAAAAGTGGGTGTCTTGCCTAATTCCATGTCTGCTATAGAAACATCTTTTTTGGGGGTGCCTTTTGGATTGGGGTATCAGGAATGGCATCAGGAAAATGCCTCCCTTGCAGCCGGCTAACTGCTTCTTGGTTGGGGGTATGGACCACAGCAACTTCTGGATACAAAAGGGCCCTGATGATCTCTTCCTGGAATTTTAGGAAGGATCCACTTTGTCCAGTTGCTTTGTAAAGCAGAAAAGCATTATATAGAGCCAATTGAAATAAATAAGTAGATGCTTTTTTTGTACCAGTGTCTGGCTTTTCAGGGAAACTGTCAGGGCTCCAGGGTATGACCAGAGGTATGTGAACTGACGCAGGGAAACGCAGGCTTCAGATAAGTTATAAACAATATAATTTATTAAAGACTAACAATACAACATAAACGCAGTGCAATACTAAAATATAACACAGTGCAAACAAACCAAACCACCCACAGATAACAGTACATACAATGCAAGCGTCGTCAGGCAGGCTGGGTCAATAACAATCGGGCAGGTAGGTACAGGGGGTCAGGCAGAGAATGGTCGGGGTCACAAGCCAGGGATAAAACAGGAAAAGTCAGCAGAGGTCCGGATCAGGCAGGGTCAGCAACGAATCAGACAGGGACAGGGACAGGGATGCAGGAACAAGATACAGGGCCCAGGAAAAACACACATCAAGGCAGAGACTGCAGGTCTGGCCATCCCTTAAATACACCTGCATAATCAGCTTCAGGTGTTTGGCTGGCTGCAGGGTTGAGTCTCTGATTGCTGGGAGCACCCGCTGGCCAGCCCTGGTACTGCAGTCCACAAGGCAGGTGAGTCCCACCATTACTGGCAAGTCCATTCCTGACAGTACCCCCCCTCAAGGAGCGGCCTCAGGACGCTCCAAACAGTCCTAGCTGGGCAAAATGTTCCACCGCCCGGGTCTGGTAACTGGCGGGATATCAAAGACTGGCACACCAGGCAGGACTCCGGGCAGCGGCACACCGGGCAGGACTCCGGGCAGCGGCACATCGGGCAGGACTCCGGGCAGCGGCACATCGGGCAGAGGCACATCGGGCAGGACTCCGAGCAGAGGCACATCGGGCAGGACTCCGGGCAGAGGCATATCGGGCAGGACTCGGGGCAGGACTCCGGGCAGAGGCACATCGAGCTGGACTCCGGGCAGAGGCACATCGAGCTGGACACCGGATCACCAGGCGGAGCAGCAGGCACCGGGCCACCAGGCGGAGCAGCAGGCACCGGGCCACCAGGCGGAGCAGCAGGCACCGGGCCACCAGGCGGAGCAGCAGGCACCGGGCCACCAGGCAGAGGGGCGACAGGCATCTGGCCCCCAGGAGGGGCGACGGGCATCGGGCCCCCAGGAGGGGTGATGGGCATCGGGCCCCTAGGAGGGGTGACGGGCATTGGGCCCCCAGGCGGGGCAGCAGGCGCCGAGCCCCGAGGAGGGGCAACAGGCATCGGGCCCCCAGGCGGAGCGACAGGCATCGGGCCCCCAGGCGGAGCGACAGGCATCGGGCCCCCAGGTGGAGCGACAGGCATCGGGCCCCCAGGCGGGGTGCCGGCCGCCAGGCCCTCAGGCGGAGAGGCAGGCACCGGGCCCCCGGGCGGGACAGCAGGCACCGGGCCCCCAGGAGGGACGGCAGGCACCGGACCCCCAGGTGAAGCGGCGGGCACCGGGTCATCAGGCACGACAACGGGCATCGGGTCACCAGGCATCAGGTCATTTGGCTCGCCAGCGGGCACCGCGTCATCTGGCAAGGCAGTGGGCAACGAGTCACCAGGCACGACAGTGGGTTCCGAGTCAACTGGCATGACCACGGGCACTGGGTCAGACATTGGATCGTCTGGCTCGACAGCGGGCATCGAGTCACCAGGCATCAGGTCATTTGGCTCGACAGCGGGCACCGCGTCATCTGGCAAGGCAGTGGGCACGAGTCACCAGGCACGACAGTGGGCTCTGAGTCAATTGGCACTACAGCGGGCACCGGGTCATCAGGTACCGGATCGTCTGGATTGACAGCGGGCACCGGGTCATCTGGCGTTGGATCGTCTGGCTCGACAGCAGGCATCAGGTCACCAGGCATGACAGCGGGCACTGGGTCACCAGGCATCAGGTCATTTTGCTCGCCAGTTGGCACCGCGTCATCTGGTAAGGCAGTGGGCACCGAGTCACCAGGCACGACAGTGGGCACCGAGTCAACTGGCATGACCGCGGGCACTGGGTCAGACATTGGATCGTCTGGCCCGACAGCGGGCATCGGGTCACCAGGCATGACAGCGGGCACTGGGTCATCAGGCATGGGATTGTCTGGCTCGACAGCGGGCACTGGGTCACCAGGCATCAGGTCATTTGGCTCGCCAGCGGGCACCACGTCATCTGGCAAGGCAGTGGGCACCGAGTCACCAGGCATGACAGTGGGCTCCGAGTCAACTGGCATGACCGCGGGCACTGGGTCAGACATTGGATCGTCTGGCTCGACAGCGGGCATCGGGTCACCAGGCATGACAGCGGGTACTGGGTCATCAGGTACCGGATCATCTGGATCGACAGCGGGCATCGAGTCAACTGGCCTAATGGAATCATCAGGCTGGATCAGTTCATCAGGCTGGATAGAGGCATCAGGCTGAATTAAGGCATCAGGCTGGGTGGAGGCATCAGGCTGGGTGGAGGCATCAGGCTGGGTGGAGGCATCAGGCTGGGTAGAGGCATCAGGCTGAAGTGCGGGTGCCGAGGCACCAGGCTGAACCACGGAAGGCAGGTTCTCAGATGGGAGGCTCACCGGTTTGGATACTGGCAGGATGGTACTGGTTGGAAAGAATTTTCACTTTTTTCTGGTTTTAACTACTGGAGCACTGCAAGTAAACGCAGGTCTGCAAACGAATGGAGCAGCTGAGGACAGAGAAGAGCTGGAAGATGGAACAGAGGAGGGAGCAGTTGCTACAGAGGACTTCTTTACAGGGTTAAAGAAAGGATAGGTGCAGCGAGTGGGAACAGAGGACTGGTATGTGGTAGTTAGAGTATACTGGGCAGTCACTGGGGGTGCTGTCGGGGATGCAGGAAGAGTGCCTTGAGCAGAGGAATGACGTTGCAAGCTGACTGAGGCTGGGTGCAACAAGTCTGACCATGTCTGCAGTATGGGTTGAACAAAGCTCAGCTTACACAAAGCCTGTCTGACCAAAGACTGCACTGCGTTTATACAATCTCTTAGTACCTGTTGTGAACATGCAGAATACCACTCCAGAAAGTAATCCACATCATCCTCTAATAACCATACCAGGGACTCTACCTGGTCGGCACTAAATGGGGGCAAAAATTCATCCCTGCATTCGGGGGTACCAGATGAAACCAACTCTACACAAACCTGAATCAAAGGTTGCACCTCAGAGAACTCTGTGCCCTGATCTACTAGGCAATGAGCGATCCGTATACATTCTAGCAGTTCATCCCTGGGATACTTCTTCAGAGTTTGATAAGCATACTCTCTGTCATCAAACACTAGCAGAGATAAATACACAACCTCATCAAGATCCATCCTTCCCAGTAACAAGCCAAGATGGCTTCCCTGTGCAGCCACTTCTGGTCAGGAATGGCCTTGGTGTAATGTCAGGGCTCCAGGGTATGACCAGAGGTATGTGAACTGACGCAGGGAAACGCAGGCTTCAGATAAGTTATAAACAATATAAATTTATTAAAGACTAACAATACAACATAAACGCAGTGCAATACTAAAACATAACACAGTGCAAACGAACCAAACCACCCACAGATAACCGTACATACAATCCAAGCGTCGTCAGGCAGGCCGGGTCAATAACAATCGGGCAGGTAGGTACAGGGGGTCAGGCAGAGAATGGTCGGGGTCACAAGCCAGGGAAAAAACAGGAGAAGTCAGCAGAGGTCCGGATCAGGCAGGGTCAGCAATGAATCAGACAGGGACAGGGATGCAGGAACAAGATACAGGGCCCAGGAAAAAACACACACCAAGGCAGAGACTGCAGGTCTGGCCATCCCTTAAATACACCTGCATAATCAGCTTCAGGTGTTTGGCTGGCTGCAGGGTTGAGTCTCTGATTGCTGGGAGCACCCGCTGGCCAGCCCTGGTACTGCAGCCCACAAGGCAGGTGAGTCCCACCATTACTGGCAAGTCCATTCCTGACAGAAACTAAGTACGGCTTCATCATCTGGTCATTGAAGTCCACCCCTCCTATGTTAAGGTTATAGTCGTGGACACAGAGGGGCTTCTGAACAACACCAGCTGCCAGGGAAATTTGGGATGTCATGCCTGCGTGACTGGAAGACAGGACAAAAACATCCTGTTTGTCCTTTCACTCCACTGCGAGCAATTCATAATTTTTCAAGCAGGCTTTTTCCCTCTTTCTAAGACACGTATTTACAAGCCTTTGGGGGAAGCCCTGGCGATCAGGTCTCATGGTGCCACATTCACCAATACCAAGATTGTATAAATGTCTAAATAGTGGCACACTTGAATAAAAATTGTTTACATATAAGTGGTACCCCATATGGAAAAAGGGTAACACCAAGTCCCAAACTATCTTGCCACTGCTCCCCATGTAGTCTGGGCATCCAGGGGGCTCCACATGACTATCTTTTCCCTCGTAAATCTGAAAATTACATGTGTATCCTGTTGCCTCTCACAGGTCTTATACATTTTGACCCTATATTTGGCACGCTTGCTGGGGAGAAATTGTTTAAATGCAATGCAGCCAGAAAAACGAATGAGGGACTCATAAACACAGATTTTTTTGCTGGGGAGTATACACATCTGCAAATTTGTGGTTAAGATGATTTATGAGGGCCCAACTTTTGTGGAGCCAGTCAAACTCAGGGTCACCTCAAGGACAACAGAGGGTATTGTCGTTGAAATGCATAAATCGCATTATATTCTCATATCTATGCCTGGCCATGGCAGCAGAGAACACTGGCATATGATTAATCAGGCCGGTGGACCAATACAACCACAATTAATTTTTTTTTAGTAATGGCCATGTTAAGGGTTAGGCCAAAAAAACTTTAAATTCAGAAACCATAATAGGTTTTAATGCAAATGGTCTGGCAAGGTTTGAATCTGAGTTGGCGGTGATAAATTGTTGTGCATATAAATTGCTTTGATCCACAATCATTGCATAAAGATCTTCCATGAAAAACAGCTCCAAAAAATCAAGGGGAGTAGTTACATTTTCTGTTTCCACCTGAATTCCAGGTTGAGCAGTGAATGGGGGAAATACGGGTGCTGCAAAATTTGTGGACTGCAAATTAGGACTTGAAAGCACATCCAGAAGGACACTATGGGCTTGTGTTCTAATTCTTGGTTGCTAGTCACCGGACCAGCTTGTACTGCACTTATGGGACTCACCACATCACCAAGTGATACTGCAGCTTCATATTCTGAGCCTGATTCCATCAGTGAGGCTTCCCCTTTGCTCTAACCTGACATGGTCAGAATTCTGTAGGCCTCTTCACTAGAGTTCCTTTCTTTAGACATTTTGGCCACTAAATTTAGAGGTAGTGCGACTCACGAGACAAAGAGCACCTGGCTGTCAGGAACTGCTTGAACTGCTACGAAAAAAATTGACCTGCAAGTGCTAGCAGAGATTAGGCCTGATTGTGCAAACACTGCAGTTTTGTGTGCAATGTATCAAGTGACAGTGATCTACTGACACTGCACTTGCTGGGTGAGAAGGGGGGGTAAACGTAGGGCTAAACACAGGTGCTGGGGCTGATTCTGCTAATGCTGCATTTTTGGGGATGCTATACTATAGTGAACGCCAATATAGTTCTGATCTGATCAAATATACTGTTGAGACACTATACTAGCAATGGGGGTTTATTGTGTATGTAAGCATGTTCCTAGCAATCAAAGGGATAAATGTGATGACTGATGTAGTGGCGGGAAATCTGACGTTATCTGGGAGGGACACTAACTGATGCTTACCGACGCTACTGTTATCTGAAGTCACCGGAGACACTAATACAGTTATCAGTAAAAAAAATCTGTACACTTTACTAATGATACTGGTGACAGGACAGTGAAGGGGTTAACTGGGGGGTGATCAGGGGGTTAAATGTGACTTAGCTGTGCTTTTACTGTAAAAGTATAGTGCTTTTGACTCAAAGAGCTGCTTTCTTCTTTCTCTGAAACAGAATGTGCCGAGGGAGAGAAGAGTGCATAATTTCCTGTACTTGTGTAAATGTAAACACAGGTACAGGAAGATCTCTGATAGGGCAGGGATCAATCAGCAGATCCAGGCCGAACATCACTGGCCTGAATCTGCTGATTGATTAGTCAGGCAGCAGATCACGGCACCGCCCAGTCGGCGGGCGGGTCCACGATCATGGCAGGAATGCAAATCACGTATATATACGTGACTTTGCACAGGGAGCCCGCCCTGTAGCAGTAATTCTGCCATAGGGCAGACCTGAATTGGTTAAGCTTTGCACAGCTTGTCTTATTAAAGGATTTCCATGATCACAGTATAAAACATAAGCATTGACTCCCATGGTACCCTTGCTATCTACAAGTTGTGATTCCTGTACTGACTCTGCCTCCTGAAAGAACGTAAATGTGTGGGATTCTTCACAAAGTGCAAATACAAACTTTAAGATCAGTCAGATTAATAGGAGTAGGCTAAAAATAAAAAAAATACAAAGTGTAAATGGATATAATGATTTTTCATTTTGACAATAAATACGCCTTAAGGGTTTCAAGTGAAAGTTATTTTATCATGCTACACAGATCACAGAAAATGCAGAGACCCAGGGGCGGACTGACCATTCGGGCATTGCCCGAGGGCCCGGGGTCAGTAGGGGGCCCGTGAGAGGATCACTGTCCAGTGACAGTATGGGGAGCGGAGGAGGGAGGCAGTCTCAGATCCTGACCCAGAAGAAGCTCACCTGTCACTTCAGGTGGGGGCACAGTGAGTCGGGCGATGGATCCGGACACTGTGGTGATGGAGCTGGTGGGGAGTGGGAAGGTGAGAAGCATATCATCTATGGGTGCGGGGTGTTCACCGCACAAACCCTGCGCCCCCCCCATGGATGATATGAATCAGGAACAAAGTCGGAGGTGATCAGTGCAGGGGAGGGACAGTGACAGCACTGATCTCCCTGCATGGATTTCAATGAAGCAGCTGAAAGACTTCCAGCTGCCTCGTTGACATCCATGCAAGCAGATCGGTGCTGTCACTGTCCCTCCACTGCACCGATCATCCCTGACTGTGCATCGGATTTCCCTCCTGAGCCCCCCCCCATGCTCCTTACCCCCCCTTGCAGGTCTCTAATGCTTTGTCTTCTCTGACAGTGTCCAGCCCCTCCCCCATCCTCCACGGCAGAGCAGAGGAGAGAGGATCTGCTCTGCTTCCCCTGTCCAGATCAACTGGCAGCTCTGTGATTCATTCTCTCTCCCTCTCTCGCCTTCTCTCTCTCTCTCCTTCCTTCTTCCTTCTAATCCTTCCCTCCCTTAGCTTCCTTCCTTCCTTCCTTCCCTCCCTTCTTTCCTTCATCCATTCCCTCCCTCCCTTTTCTTCCTTCCTCTATCCCTTCCCTTCATTCTTTCCTTCCTTCCCTCCCTCCCTCTCGCCCTTCCTTCCTTTCGCTCTCCCTTTCTCCCCTTCTTTCCTTCCTTCCTTCATCTATTTCATTCCTACTTTTTCTTCCTTCCTTCTTCCCTTCACTCCTTCCTTTGCTACCCTTCCTGCATTCCATCATCCATCCATTTTCTTCCTTCCTTCCTCCATTCCTTCCCTCCCTTTTCTTCCTTACCTTCATTCCTTCCTCTATCCCCTCCCTTCACCTTTTTTTTTTTCCTTCCCTTCCTCCTCATCTTTCAATCATTCCTTCCTTCTTTCCCCCTTCCTTCAATCCTTCCTTCCTTTCTCCATTCCTCCCTCCCTTCATTTCTTCCTTCCTTCATCCATCCCCTCCCTTCATTCTTTCCTCCATCCCCTCCTTTCATATCCTTCCTTCCTTTCCTGCCTCCTTCCCCTCCTTTCATTTCCTTCCTTCCTCCCTCCCCTCCTTCCTTTCCTCCCTTTCCTTCATTCTTTCCTCCACCCAGTTCCTTCCTTCCTCCATCCATTCCCTCCCTCCCTTTTTGTCAGGAATGGACTTGCCAGTAATGGTGGGACTCACCTGCCTTGTGGGCTGCAGTACCAGGGCTGGCCAGCGGGTGCTCCCAGCAATCAGAGACTCAACCCTGCAGCCAGCCAAACACCTGAAGCTGATTATGCAGGTGTATTTAAGGGATGGCCAGACCTGCAGTCTCTGCCTTGGTGTGTGTTTTTTCCTGGGCCCTGTATCTTGTTACCTGCATCCCTGTCCCTGTTCCTGTCCCTGTCTGACTGATTCGTTGCTGACCCTGCCTGATCCGGACCTCTGCTGACTTCTCCTGTTTGATCCCTGGCTTGTGACCCCGACCATTCTCTGCCTGACCCCCTGTTCCTACCTGCCCGATTGTTATTGACCCGGCCTGCCTGACGACGCTTGCATTGTATGTATTATCTGTGGGTGGTTTGGTTTGGTTCGTTTGCACTGTTATGTTTTAGTATTGCACTGTTTTTATGTATTGTTAGTGTTAATAAATTCTATTGTTTATATCATATCTGAAGCCTGCGTTTCCCTGCGTCAGTTCACATACCTCTGATCATACCCTGGAGCCCTGACATTACACCAAGGCCAATCCTGACCAGAAGTGGCTGCACAGGGAAGCCATCTTGGCTTGTTGCTGGGAAGGATGGATCTTGATGAGGTTGTGTATTTTGTCGCTGCTGGTTTTTGATGACAGAGAATATGCTTATCAGACTCTGAGGGAGTATACCCGGGATCAACTGCTAGAATGTATACGGATCGCTCATGTTCTAGTAGATCAGGGCACAGAGTTCTCTGAGGTGCAACCTTTGATTCAGGTTTGTGTAGAGTTGGCTTCATCTGGTACCCCTGAAAGCAGGAATTACTTTTTGCCACCATTTAGTGCAGACCAGGTAGAGTCCCTGGTATGGTTATTAGAGGATGATGTGGATTGCTTCTTGGAGCATTATGCTGCATGTTCACCACAAGTATTAAGGGATTGTATAAACGCAGTGCAGTCTTTGGTCAGACAGGCTTTGTGTAAGCTGAGCTTTGTTCAAACCATACTGCAGACATGGTCAGACTTGTTGCACCCAGCCTCAGTCAGCTTGCAAAAACCCAGTCCTGCTTCTAATCTATTTCTTCAAAGCTCTATTCCTGCATTCCCAACAGCACCTCCAGTTACAGCCCAGTATACCCTGCTGTCTACCGCATGTCAGTACCCTGTTCCCACTCGCTGCACCTATCCTGCCTTTAACCCTGTAAAGAAGCCCTCTGTAGCAACTGTTCCCTCCCCTGTTCCATCCTCCAGCTCTTCTCTGTCTCCAGCTGCTCCATCCGTTTACAAACCTGCGCTTACTTACAGTGCTCCGGTAACTAAAACCAAGAAAAGGCGAAAGTTCTTTCCAACCAATACCATCCTGCCAGTATCCAAACCGGTCAGCCTCCCATCTGGAACCTGAACCTGCCTTCCGTGGTGCAGCCTGGTGCCTCGGTGCCCACAATTCAGCCTGATGCCTCTACCCAGCCTGATGCCTCTACCCAGTTCGGTGTGCCTCTGCCCGGAGTCCAGCTCGGTGTGCCTCTGCCCGGAGTCCAGCTCGGTGTGCCTCTGCCCGGAGTCCAGCTCGGTGTGCCGCTGACCGGAGTCCAGCTCGGTGTGCCGCTGACCGGAGTCCAGCTCGGTGTGCCGCTGACCGGAGTCCAGCTCGGTGTGCCGCAGACCGGAGTCCAGCTCGGTGTGCCGCTGACCGGAGTCCAGCTTGGTGTGCCGCTGCCCGGAGTCCAGCTCGGTGTGCCGCTGCCCGGAGTGCAGCTCGTGTGCCGCTGCCCGGAGTGCAGCTCGGTGTGCCACTGCCCGGAGTCCTGCCCGATGTGCCAGTCTTTGATATCCCGCCAGTTACCAGACCTGGGCGGTGGAACATTTTGCCCAGCTAGGACTGTTTGGAGCGTCCTGAGGTCGCTCCTTGAGGGGGGGGGGTACTGTCAGGAATGGACTTGCCAGTAATGGTGGGACTCACCTGCCTTGTGGGCTGCAGTACCAGGGCTGGCCAGCGGGTGCTCCCAGCAATCAGAGACTCAACCCTGCAGCCAGCCAAACACCTGAAGCTGATTATGCAGGTGTATTTAAGGGATGGCCAGACCTGCAGTCTCTGCCTTGGTGTGTGTGTTTTTCCTGGGCCTTGTATCTTGTTACCTGCATCCCTGTTCCTGTTCCTGTTCCTGTCCCTGTCTCTGTCTGACTGATTCGTTGCTGACCCTGCCTGATCCGGACCTCTGCTGACTTCTCCTGTTTGATCCCTGGCTTGTGACCTCGACCATTCTCTGCCTGACCCCCTGTTCCTACCTGCCCGATTGTTATTGACCCGGCCTGCCTGACAACGCTTGCATTGTATGTATTATCTGTGGGTGGTTTGGTTCGTTTGCACTGTTATGTTTTAGTATTGCACTGCGTTTATGTATTGTTAGTGTTAATAAATTCTATTGTTTATATCATATCTGAAGCCTGCGTTTTTCCCTGCGTCAGTTCACATACCTCTGGTCATACCCTGGAGCCCTGACACTTTTCTTACTTCAGTTCCCTTCTCTTCCCTTCCTTCCTTTCTCTATTTATTCCCTTTTTTTCTTCCTTCCTTACTTCCTTCCATCCACTCCCGCCCTCCCTTTTCTTCCTTCCATTCCTGTCCTCCTTCCCCTCCCTTCATTCTGTCCTCCCTCCCTCCCTTCCTTTAATTTCCTTCCTTCCTCCTTCATTCCTTCCTTCCTCCATCCATTCCCTCCCTCCCTTTCTTACTTCCTTCCCTCCCTTCTTTCTTTCCTTCCTTCTTTCCTTCCTTCTTTCATCCATTCCCTCCCCCCCTCCCTCTTTCTTCCTTCCTTCCGCCATCAATTTCCTTCCTTCCTCCATCCATTTCCTCCCTCCTTTTTCTTACTTCCTTCCTCCCTCCCCTCCTTCCTTCCCTCCTCTTCCTTCCTTCCCTCCCCTTCTTTTCTTCCTTCCTCCATCTATTTCCTCCCTTTCCTTCCTTCCTTCCTTCCTTCCTTCCTCCATCCACTCCCTCCCTCCCTTTTCTTTCCTTCCTCCATCCCCTCCCTTCATTCTGTCCTCCCTCCCTCCCTCCCCTCCTTTAATTTCCTTCCTTCCTCCCTTCCTTCCTTCCTTCTTCCTTCTCTCCCCCTCCTTCATTCCTTCCTTCCTCCATCCATTCCCTCCCTCCCCTTACTTCCTTTCCTCCCTTCTTTCTTTCCTTCCTTCCTTCCTTCTTTCTTTCATCCATTCCCTCCCTCCCTCCCTCCCCTTTCTTCCTTCCTTCCTCCATCAATTTCCTTCCTTCCTCCATCCATTTCCTCCCTCCTTTTTCTTCCTTCCTTTCCTCCCCTCCCCTCCTTCCTTCCTTCCCTCCCCTTCCTTTCTTCCTTCCTTCCTTCCTTCCCTCCCCTTTCTTCCTTCCTCCATCTATTCCCTCCCTTTCCTTCCTTCCTTCCTTCCTTCCTTCCTTCCTTCCTTCCTTCCTTCCCCTCCCCTACCCTTTCTTCCTCCATCCATTACCTCCCTCTCTTCCTAACTTACTCCCTTCCCTCCTTTTCCTTCATTCCTTCCTCCATCCATTTTCTTTCCTTCCTCCATCCATTCCCTCCCTCCCTCCCTTTTCTTCTTTCCCTTCCTTCCTCCATCTTTCCCTTCCTTCCTCCCTTTATTCTTTCCTCCCACCCCTCCTTCCTCCCCTCCCCTTTCTTCCTCCATCCATTCCCTCCCTCTCTTTTCTTTCTTCCTTCCTTCCCTCCATCCATTCCCTTCCTTCCGATATAAGGGGGTACAGGTTCTGTTTATTGATCCCAATCTAATGACAGCCCAACATATACTAGTGCTCCCTACTGACACTGCCCACTGCCCCCACAAAATCATTGTGAAAAAAATACAGAAATAAATTTGTAAAAAATAATTACAAAATGAGATAATAAAATTAAACATTTTTTACACCCACGCCATTGCTCTACTGACACCATCCACTGGCCACCCAAAAGCATTTTGAAAAAAAATTATCAAAATAATAAAACATTAATTTGTAAAAAAAATAATACAATTGTAAAAAAAAAAAATAATAAAAATGAAGAACTACTGACACCACCTACTGACACCATCCTACACATATTACTCACCGCCATACACTCCGCACTCCTCTCCCTGTACATACTACCCACTGTCATACACACCACACTGTACATTCCCTATTTACCATTACCTCATTCTGCACTATATAAGTCATCTCAGACACTATTTACCACACCCCGTTTAAGCCATGCCCAATTTTTAGCACAATTTAAAACACACCCCTCCTCTCTCACTCCTCCTCCTCCTTCTCTCTCTCTCTCTCACACACTCCTCCTCTTTTTCACCCTCTCACTCCCCTCTCTCTTTCACTTCCCCCACATGGCAGCCATCTTTAAACCTGGAAGTGCCCAGTGGCTTCTACAGAAAGAAGCCGGGAACATTCATGCAGTCTTTGCTGCAGTAAATATTTAAATGCCCCTTCTATGCAGCTGAGCTGCAATATGTAGGTAGAGTGTTGTGTGGGCGTGCTTGAGTGTAGGCGGGGACACAGGGGGCTCCATTATCTCTTACTGCCCAGGGGCCCCATGAGTTGTCAGTCCACCCCTACAGAGACCACAACTGTTGTAAAAAATCATACAATGCCATGACAGTTGGCAACTATTGCAGATCCTAGTGAGTGGTTTACCAAGTCATACTAATTGACACTTGTTGCAAATACACAATCCGTCCTGGGGTCACACAGCATATCTCAGTCAAACAGTTGAACAAATATGAAACCACCAGTGAAGCAAAGCCTTTACAAAATGTTCAGTAAAATAAGAAAAATTTTACAAAAGTCAATAAGTCTTGGAAGCTTTACCGTGCACAGTAAAGCTTTCTTAAAAGATTTTACACGTGTCAAATATCCCCAAAGTAAATGGACTATTTCTTATGTCAGAACAGTGAATGGAGACTTGGAAATCATTCCTTTTTTATTTTCCAAATATAGCTTAACATTATAGAGGCATTTATTCCAAGCTGTATACAGCCATTTAAGACTTTTTGGCCATAATCAGTGCAAGGTATGGGTACCATTGTTTCTATGGAGTCGGGCTTGAGACCCAGCAAGAAAGTATTACTATACAGATTATGGTGAGAAGGGATTAAAGGATAAGTTCACTTTTTGACCAAAAATAATCAATGCACATTTTTTTTGCAGGTAAAAAAATGTGCATTTATTATTGTTGGTTGCAGGAGCCTGTAAGCCATTGCACAAGCGATCAGCAGATCATGGATGCCTTGCAGGTCTCCTTCAGATCTGTTAGTATATCTGCTTGCCTGTACATGATATATGTGCAAGCAGATATACAGCCAGAAACAATCGATGAACTACCATGGCACTCCACAGCGCCATGGTAATTCACTTAGCACTACAAGCCGACAGCTGTTGGGACTTGCAGTTCATTCATTCTCAGAACTCTGTGAATGGATGATGCAGCCATGTGCGCAGAGCCCCACATGGCCTCACTCTATTCAAATAGTAACAGCTTGTCAGGGGCGTCCCTAAGGTTGGTGTTACCCGGTGCGGTAACACTTGGTGACACCCCCTCCGACAAACCCCTCAAAATGGTTCGGATCTGTGGATTAAGCATAATGGATTGGTCTCCGATCCATTATGCTCCCCAATCCGCAGATCCGATCCATCCTGCGGAGATCGTTGGCTTTCTTTATAACTTACCTTTTCGTGGAGCGGGTCCGTTGTCACCCCGTATAGATTGCATGCCGACGATCCCTGCAGGATGGTTCAGATCTGCAGATTGAGCATAATGGATCGGCATCTGATCCATTATGCTCCTCAATCTGCAGATCCGATCCATATTGCGGGGATCGTCGGCATGCAACCTATATGGGTGACACCGGACACACTCCACGAAAAGGTAAGTTGTAAAGAAAGTTGTAGAGGATCCTGCGGGAATCATCGGTTTGCTTTACAACTTACCTTTTTGTGGAGCGGGTCCGGTGTCACCCTGTGTGGTAGGTGTCACCCAGTGTGGCGCACACACACCCCCGCACCTGCCTTGGGACGCCACTGCAGCTTGTACAGGGAACTTCTCCTCAACTGCTGTCACGGGGAAGGGGGAGGGGATCAAGTGGCGGCTGCAGCATTAGGAATACTGGGAAAAAATGGGAGGAACATGAAACATGTTCCCAAAGGTGAACTTATCCTTTAATCAAACTGCCCTCCAAAAGAATCAGTGCATAGTACAGCAAAGCCTTCTTAGAACAAAACAACATTAACATATCTCATTTTGTCACATATGCGAAAAAAAGAGAGTACTATTTCAGGGCAGTGGATAGAGCCATACAAATCTTTTTTTTTTTTTGCCCCATCAACCAGATGAACATCCATATCCACCAGTGCACAGTACAGATATAGCCTTATATTATAGAGCAATTTACTCAAAGTTCATACAGCTCAGTTCTCAGAGCTCCGTGAGCAGAGAGTTGGTGACTGTCAGTCACCGCTCTCTGCTCTGCCCCCCCAGTGCTCACTGGAGCACTGGGCTATGAAGGGGGAGGGAGCTACTGGATCAGGCTGTCAGTGGATCACTGAGAGGTCCTGACATCGGGGGGATCTCGACTTTAAAGCTGAGTGACGTCAGCTGATAGTGGACTTTAGACCGTTGTTGGCTGAAAATGGGTCAAAGGAGTGCAGAACGAACTGGACTCCTGTGATTCACAGGGAAAATACAGCCAAAAGACCTTTGGCTGTACTGCTCCTT